TAGTCGTTTAGCAATTTAATTAAAAGCACGAACGTGGAGAGCGAAATGTTGAATTGGATGACATATAACTGAACTCCAAAGTAGGTATGCAATTACATGTGCTTAGGGCTAATTAAGATTGCAAGAGATACATAAGAAGAAGATAGACGCGGATGATAACGATCGAATGCCGCAACGTTTTTCCTCGGATGTTCGTAGGAATGCAAGAAAGAAGTTAACGTTGAAATCCCGAGATGATATTGCCCCGATAGTTACCGGGGTTACCAGCCCAGAGCTCTAAGCGCGAGCTCGGTACCGAGCGCGCTCGATTTGGTCGGGAAAGAAGTTACACCGCAGTTACATCCAAGGCGAAGTAACGTGCAAAAAGCCCGAGCATCTCCGACGAGTACCGAGAGGAAGTAAGAAAAGAGGGAGAGAGATGGAGAGAGGCAAGCCGTGGAACAACAGAGTTTTTCGCGATCGGCAAAGTATTGTCCGTCGTCGTACTCTCGCGTCTCGTCGGAACTCGAGAGCGGGATCGTGCGACCGTGACTCTGGAATCATCCCTAAGACCTTAGACCCCCGCGCAACAACGTCCGCGCCCAGCCATCACCAACACCGTTCCGCGCAATCTCTCTCTCTCTCTCTCTCTGGTATCCGCCAGCATCAAATTACAAGTTCCTCCTCGATCTACGATCCGCTGTCGTCGTCGCTCGATTGGTACCCTGCGAGGGAACGATGTTTTCTGTCAAGTTTGCACAACGATCACGGACGAACTCGTTCAGACATAATGATTCCTGTCGCCGAAGCAGCAACGCAAATTCGGCATTCACAATAATAACGTGGCTCTTTCGTGCCGCAACGATTGCAAAAAAAATCAAAGAGAAAATATGTAACGCGTATCATATATAAAGAATATTCCCTAGACTGTGTTTAAGAAGAAATCGGAACAATATATGCAACCGCATAAAAGGATCCCGTCTGAGTTTACAATCGTGGGGATCGGCGCGAAAGACCCTCACGCGATTGCCTAACAAAATATCACGGAAGAAAAAGACTCGTCCTTCGTCGCGAGCCAGCAGGACTGACAGATCTGCCGGCTACACTCCTTGCCCTAGCCCGGCCACTGTGGACTCCGTCGTCGAATCCTTGGAGCGAGCAGCCCCATTCGGGGCAATTCTTTGCCGTCTCGCGTGTATCCTTAGTATGCAACGTATGCAGTCGGTTGTTACCGAAGGAGTGGTTTGCTGAGCGGCCAATGGCGAGTGCTCGAGCTAATTCTAGGGTGCCGCCGCCGCGCCATCTTTGCATCATAATGCTGTCCCCCCGTGCCCCGGCGCTCACTCGCGTTCTCTCTCCCCCCGTTTCCTCTTCACCGCCCCTCCCGTCACTGCGAGAAGTCTGCCCCCTTCTTCCTCCCTGCCCCGCTGCCGTCCCGCAACCTCTTCCCTCTGCCCTCCTCGTCCTCCTCTCCGCCCCCACCCTCTCCCACTTTCTCTCCACCCTTGTTTCGTTTTGCGTGAGAGAGAAAGAGAGGACGAAGAAGACGAAAACATCAGGTGAAAGAGAGAGAGAGAGAGAGAGAGAGGGAGAGAGAGAGAGAGAGAAAGAAAGAGCGAAAGAAAAGGAACGAAGAAAACGTCTCGGAGGCGCGTTATGCCAAAGTGGATAAGGAGAAGAGTGCACGAGAGGGAAACGGAGAGTGTATAAGGCAGGGAGGAAAAGGAGGGGCACACGGCCATGGTGAAGAGGTAGAGGGGACGAAGGGGTTGTCTGCGCCTTGTCTGCCGGGAATCAATCACGTATCAGTGATGCTCAACCAGTGGCCACCTGCGAGACACGATCGATAGGATCGCGATACCTGTTTACGATGGCTCATCGATGGTATCCGCTGTTGTGTTACTTTGAACCATAGAATCATGACGGATCCGTGAATGTTGAATTTTGGTCGAAAATCCGAGCGACAATGACATCGCTTCCGCGACGTTTCATCATGCACGTACGTATACACACACGTACATACAAACACGCAACGAGATTCAAGACAAAAAATTCTTGATATTCTCGCGACGCCGGTGTGTGGCCGAATGAGAAATACATTTGCATCTAAAGTGGATGGATGCTTTTGCACGACGATTTATTTCCACGGCGGCAATACGATCCTCTGATTACCGTTCCAGAAATGACGCGCGAGTGGAGGGCGATTAAAGCCGCGTGCCCTAATCTCCATGCTATACCGGCGCGAAAGCGAAGGGAAGGTAATGTCGTCGTACTCGAGTACGCCCACGGCGACGTCGTACCTACGCCTCGCGCTACCGTCTTACCTGTCAGGGTAGGCTAATGTTAAATCGAGAGAACGCGAGCAAGAGCTACCGTCTTCCGCCGAGCCTACCGTGCTGAAGAGAATCACGGCAGATCCATTTCGGCACGTCAATCGACTTGTACGAAGAATCCGAACTAATGCATATAGAGTTTCAGCCACGTATTATACGTGGCTGAAACTCGAAGAAGATTAATTCAATGTATATATATATTTTTAAATAAGTTTTATTTTATTTGTTTTTTTTTTTTTTTTAAATAAGAATTTTCGACACTTCAAAGAAGCGTGCATTTGTGATATCGTTTTTTGTCTTCGACGGTGTCTCGAATGATCGAAGAAATAGAATCGAGGAGGCGTAATCGATCGAACCTTAATCTTTTTGCCCTGAGGCATCTTTTCGCGGGATTCGGGCGCAAGAACCGGTCAACGTCTCATCGGACGGGGACGCGCCGCGCCACGCCATTCTTCGTCGAACCCGGCGCAACGAGAAACGATTAAGGCAGAATCGTCGTCGAACAAAGCCAGAACCCGCGAGAGAGAGGTCGAGCCAAAAGTGTCGAGGGCCGAGATGAGCCCGAGAGGAGATACAATGGCCGGACGCGCCGGTTCACAATGACGGAAAATAATTAAAGCGGCCAGGGGGAAGAGAGGGCCCGTTCAAAGACGCCGACGCGGGGGTCTCTCGACCGATCAAACCGATCGCCTATGCGCTGTATCTGAGCGAACCTACGCGCACACCCGTCACCGTGACGAATCCAAGCCGTTCTACACGTGTACCTAACGTTGTGCGCGCGCGCGCAAGTTACCTGTATGAGTTCCGACACGAATTTGTGTGCGCGCCAATCATGGTGGATTGATTTCGTATACGTCTGCATTGGCGACAAAGAACGGGACATTGGAATCCGGAAAAGAAGTCTGAAAGCGCGGCGACCAGAATGAATGGTCTGACACGAAAGAGCGGGCAAGCCTGCATTGTTGTAATACTTGCGGTAAACGGCAAGTTGCCTTGGAATGCTTCGTGACATAATTTTAAAACAAGTACAAAGAGAAACTTTATGATAGATTGAAAATTCGTCTCGGTCAAATTACGTTTTTTTTCTGCTGAATTTATTTTAAAATTAAATCGTTTTGAAAAAAAAAAGTTATACACACACACACACACACACACACACACACACACACATAATTAATTGTTTATTTTTCTTACATGTTTTATTTTTCATTAATATACTTGTTCCCGTTGATTATCCAAGTATCGTCAAAGTGAAGTAAAAAGCGAAGAAATTGATGAATAACGAAATGCAAAGAGCAGTTTATCCTTCTTATCGTATTTTTTTAATATACTCGTTTGCATATATTCGCTTTAGCTTACTCATATATTATGCAAACGCGGGAGTCCAGTGCAAGCTCCCTCTGTATCTTTTTAACGGCGTGACTCACTGTGAGAAATCGATAAACGATTCGTCTCGGGTGTTCGACTCGACCGGCTACCGTCGGATTCACGCACGGTAGCTGACGAGACGATCGGACCCCCGCTTAGACGTGTACTTTGAGTTTTGGGGCCCGCCGTGCTCGGTGTGAAGCCCCCCGCTGTAGAATGATACGCCAGGATAATTCCATTGGACTCTGACCACGCCGGGGTTCCGCCACCTGGGGGACGGAGATGGTCAGCGCGAATTTGCCGCGTGTTTCCATCACGTCCGTTCGGAAATGTGTGTCGACATTCACGAAATATACAATACGTTACAAATAATAATCTTTAGCCTATCAATCATGCTACAAACGATCGCATTGTTCTTTGTTGCAGTGGTTTATCAGAAACGGTTAAAAAAGGAGCGGCGAGCGAGGAAACGGCTGCAGGAGCAGTTGGACCTGGAGATCAAGAGGCGCACACAGTTGGAGGAGGCCCTCAAAGCCACGGGCGCGTCCTCGGAGCAAGTCAGAGCGATTACCGGTATGTGCGAACCGCCTTCTCTGTTCTCTGAACAAGTTTTCACGACAGATATATATACATATTGTATACATCATCGAAATTGGAAATTGCCATTTACCTAAGAAGATTACACTTGAGAGCTTCAAGAGAAATTATACTTATAAAACGCTCTGTTCTCTCGCGCTGAAAACTCTTTGCTAATATCTTGTTCTGCAAAAAAAAGAAAAAAGAAAAAAGAAAAACGTCTCAATTTTCATCACGTAGATTAGACACGAGATCGCTGCAAATGGACGAGTTTTCTTAGGATTTCGCGAGCTCGTCGTCAGTCTCTCCGTTAAGAGCCCCGGGGCCAGCGGTGATCTCGGAATAAATTAATTAATACGCCGAGGCAGAGCAAACAGCCTGACACCCGGCAGAATATGATTCCTTACTTATCCCCTGCCGGCGGTGCAATCCCTCTCCGTCGTCGGCTGGCTGATGGCAGCCTGTTCCCTCTCCGCCCTCTCCTCCTCCCTCTCCCCCCCCCTCCCCCTCCTCTGTTGCCCCTCTCCCCCGTTGTTCCAGCAGCACCTTGACTAGGCACCGCGCGTCTCGCCCCACGATCCTCCGGCAAGTAGAAGTAGCAGCAACAAGCGGCACGCCACCCTTCTTCCTGTCACTACCAAAACTCAAACGCGAAACCCTTTAAGTGAAATCTCTTATTCCGATATAATGTTTCGTCCTGGCCCTCCTTCACCCCTCGCCCCCCCACCGTCCTCTGTTTCCACCTCATCGTTTTCGCGCTGCCTCCGTCGCCGTCGCCGCCGCCGTTGCCGCCGCCGCTGCTGTTGCCGCTGCCGTTCACTGGTACCGCTGATTAATCCTGTCAAATCCAGAGAGTCGCGATACTAATTTCAAATCAAACGCGGCACGTCACTCCGCCACTTGGGTGTCGGAGCGAGTCGTGCGATGGTCACGATCTTATGGGTTACTTGGAAATTTCGCTTTCCTGCTGACGCTGAAATTTTTCCATCTACTCCGCCCGCACGTCAATATGTACGTCGACGAAAGATTTAGAGACGGAGACGACTTTTTTTTTCCCTTTTTTTTTTTTTCTTTCAACATCGCGATAATCGGTCGACTGCCATCTTTCTATGACGCAGAAAACGTAACGGCGGAGGCGCGCACGAGTTCGGAGCCGCCGGAGGCTAGCCCGGTACATTCTCAGTCGCAGCAGCAGTCGTCGCAGCAACAACCGCCGCAGCAACCCCTTCAGCAGCAACAGGCAGCGGCCCAGCAGTACCGGGAGGCGCAAGTACCGCGTCCTTCCCAGCAACCGTCGACGCCGGAGAAGCCCGCATGGGGATACGGGCTGGATCTCATCGGTAGCCAGGCGTCGGCCTTCTGGCAAAACTACCAAGGTCAGTTCTTCCAACGGCACGCCACTTCACCCTCGTCGTACCCTGTTGCGTTCGATTTCATCGCCGACTCCCAGCTCCCACGGTGTTCCCCACGGAACCGCGCCTCTCGGAAAAATAAACGGGGAATACTTAAGCCACTTATCGTTAACGGAGGATCGCGATAGCCATGTCGTTCCCGCCTCCGCTTCTTCCTCCTTCCCGATATATCTCGAAACATCCCGGCCGTGTGTCCCAATACGTTGTGCGTTCCCTTCGAGTTTCACTATGTCGTATTACAATTACACCTCGGCGAGATGTTCCGGAATGAATTCGAAAACGTCAAAGAGTTGCCCGATGGGAAAGAATAAAGCGGCCCGAGGAAACTAGTCTGCTATCTACATTATAAAGTTTACGGTAATTCGAGAAAGTAGCAGTCGCGTGTTAGGAACTTGAGGTCAAGGGAGTACGGGAAGGGGGAAGGACGATTCGAGGATACACAGGCTCAGAGCCAGCGGCGGGATCCGCTAATTCGGATAATCGCATTCCCGTATTAGGATCCACTCAATTTTTCTGATCTTCCGGCCGAGTGCTTTCGATCCTCGATTACCCTGACAAAAAAAAAGAGAGAGAGAGAGAGAGAGAGAGAGAGAGAGAGAGAGAAGAAAAGAGAGGAGATTGACCCCGAGGGCTAGAGAGACGGTGGAGCGGACGGTGGTAGTATGTCGTGGTGGTATCGTGCAAAGTAAATTATTCGAAAGATCTCGAGCGAGAGCAATCACGCCGCCGGCAATAACAACCCCGTGCACGAAGAGGGTAGGAGGAGGGAGGGAGGGGGGAGAGAGAGAGAGAGAGAGAGAGAGTGAGTGAAGCAAGGAGAGGGGGAAGGAACCGAGCAGGTCCTGACGAGGAAACACGAGGTATTTGAATAGGGTCCCGCAGCCGCTCGGGCATCATGATGCGGAATCCATTTGCAATAAACAACGGAGATTTAGACAGGGGTAACGCGGGAGAGGAGAGACAAGTCGAGAGACGAGTCGAGCGTAGTAGCGTCAAAATGGAAAGAGGGGATGGGAGGGGTGACCATCGGGTAGGAACACGGGGAAAGAGGTGGTTCGACGTAATGTCGTCTGAGGTGGGTACTTACGCCACTGAGGGGACCTCGGGGGCCGCCGTCGCCGCCGCCGCCGCGTCTTCGAGTCATGCATTCTATACGAGCGATGGCTCTCATTCTTGTCACATTGTCAATAAAGAAAGTATTTTTCGTAAGTTTCGACCGTAACTGATAAATCTCCTCCGTTACAATCTCCGAAGATCTTGTTGATTCGGCCGTTAAAAGATATTTCGCGTATTAATTCTAACAGCGAAACGTTTGCCATTGAAATATAGGTCGATTCTTCTTACCTTCGAGATCTATCCTTCATCGTCGTCTTCATCAGCTGATCCTAAATCCCTACCAACTCTGGCTGAGTTCGAACCCCTTTTGTGGAAGAGTACCTACCGCTTTCAATGTCGGCGTCGTATCCCTTACTTTTCCAAATAATACAATCACAGTCTCTCGCGACCGCGTCCTCCCCGCACGTATAGCGCACTTACATGAGCGCCACTGGCTGTAATGCAGAGTTTATGCACATCTCTCGCAAGTAAGGAAGGAGCCGTAATTTCCCCGGCGGCCAACGCGGCTCTCGGTGGCGTTACCTGTCCTCCCTTCCTTCTTCCACTCTCACGTTCCCTCCGCCGCTTCCCTTAAACCTCCTCCAGCCTCCCGCCCTCTCTTACTTACGCGCTGCTCTCTTCCTTTCTCTCTCGCGCGTGCATACACGTACGTACGACGCCGTGTACGTGCACAAGTATACACGACGCGCGATTCCTCCACGTCGTCCACCATCCACAGAGTACGACGAAGCACTCCGCCACGCTTTAATATTCAGACTATATGCAATAATTTCGCAGCAACCATAACCCCCCTCTCCCCCCCCTCCCTCTGCCTTCCTCCTGATTTCGCAACACTCTTGCTTTCTCCGTCTCCCCCCCCCTCCCCCCCCCTCTCTCTCTCTCTCTCTCGCTCTTTCCATCCTCCTTCTCGAACCACCATCTTCAGCTTCACCGTCTCTATCGTTTATTTCCTCCCCCCCCCCTTATTCCTCCTTGCCTAACTCGTCTGTTTCTCCCCCCTCCCCCCTTCCTATCCTGCCCAACCGTGTTTCTTCCATCGCACGAGAAGAGACGTAGCACGTACGAACACACCCACACCGAGACTCTGCGAGATTGCTCCACGGTGTGGTGCGCTGTACCTCCATCTTCCACCCTGCGACCGCAATCACTCTAAATCGCCGCGCGGGCATTAATATTTGATGGACCGAAGTTCTCGGGAATTATTCGAAATGGAAATAATCGCGATCGAGGCAGGCCGGTATCATTTTTCACATCGATGATGTCTCGTGAGATCAGCATCAGCGTACAGCTACGGCTTTAACGTCGTTAAACGCTAAAGCCCTTTTAGTCTCTACACGCCGCGCTTGGGCGCTTCCACGAATGAATTAACCTTGAATACCGTGCGGTCTACAAACTGAAAAAGAGAGAAAAATGAAAGTCAAACGTTGTCGAGAAGTAAAAAGTTTTAAGCTTCAGTCCCGCAAATCAAGCGTATCGCCTCGGGAGGAAAAATGACAACGGCGACGACGGATGGACGGGCTCCGTTGAGCGCGCGCGCACGCCGGATTATTTCCAGCTTTCCAGCCGCCCACGCCGGCCGAGAAAATGCGAGCGTCGCACCTGCGTACGTGCACGTGCGTACGACCATTACGCGGAAAGACAATAACCCCGCGGAAGAGTGATAAAGCGTGTGTGTGTGTGTGTGTGTGTGTGTGTGTACGGGCGATATAAAGGCTGAAGGAAGCCGACGCGCTGACGTGGGCGGCGTAGCTGGAGGTAGGGCGGCGGAGGGCTTGGAAACATCCCCCGCCTTGAATATATCCACGGGGCACGACGACGTGGTTTTCCGGCGAACAAGCCGGGACAGGAGAAATCGGACAGGGAAGACAGGAGGCGAGGGGAGGGGGGAGGGGAAGGGGAAGGCGAGGGCAGCAGAAAGGTAGAGTTTCGATCTGAACGCGAGTGGTAGCTCGCGTGGTTGCGAGCTGACGGTGAGGTAGGTATTGTCAGGAATATCGGGGTTTGTTCCAAGACGTCCTCCCCGCACGGTGACCACTACTCACTCGGAGCGTTCTCTTCTGCTTTCTTACATTTGAAGAATAACGAATAACAAATCTAAAAAATGATGATCCTTCAGGGTGGATTGGACACGTTTTTTTTTTTTAGAAAAGTGTAATTAAAATTTTGTTCACCTTGCGACAAAGGAGATAAATCGACCGACGTTATTTTCGGAGACTTCCAAGTTTACTACGAATACATACGGAAAAGAGAGGGAAGCCTGTCCTCGACTTATTTTGCGACGCCGCAGGCGCCGATTGGAAAGGCGCCGGATTGTGAGGGGATTAAATTCGTTACTCGAGAGCTTTGACGCGAATGGCATACGGAAGAGAGAGATTTTTATGCGGCTCGGAGAAAGAACAATTACCGAGCGAGACTCATCGATCGTTCTGGATATCGTCGATTTATTTTCAAATATTATTGATGACGTTGCCGAGAGGCGGACTTCATCGACGAGTCGTGATCGAATTAATAATGCGTTTGTATTTTTTCCGAACGGACGAATTGAAATTGATGCGGGAGTGATGACTTGTTGTGGCATTTCGATTTCGCGGTATAGAGAGGAGAGTGCGGGCGAAAGAGGAGACGGAAAAGAGAGTAAAGAGATTGAGGTAGAGGATGGTAGGTGATCACACTTGACGGAAATTTGAAATTATAAGATTCGTGCGATTCGAAAGCGAGGAAGAGAGGCCCGGGCACCGGAGATTCATCCTCATTTCTCTCCTCCTGCATCCTCTCTCCTCCCAGTTCCTCTGCTTTTTGTGTCCCCGCGCTGCTCCATGCGGCTCCTTGATTCATACAATTTCATGGTCGGCTTGGCGCTCAAGCGCCTATCCCCACCCCTATTCGCAACTTCCGTTCACCCCTCCTTCCTATATATCACGCTTTCCGGCCCTCTGCTTTCCGTTCGCTGCTGCTGCTGCTACTGCTGCTGTTCTCCGCCTTTCAAACCTCGTTCGCTTTACATAAAGATCAGAACATTAAAAACGCGACGCTACACGAAATCAACCCTCTAGACCCTTCCCCGCCTCCCTTCCCCTTTGTCTTCGTCACGTACCCTATATCCCTTTTTGCTGGCGAACGTCACTAACCCCTCGGGTTCTTCGAGATTCTCGAGTGAGCGAGAGCATTCAGCCAATTACCATCGTTCCGATGTGATACTTAAATTGCTTTTTTCGCCGTTCGCGCAAGAACGAAACATGTCGAGTGCACTCATCACGTTGACGATTATATCCGATATCCGGCGCCGCCGCGGCAAATCCGGTTAAATCTCAAGGCCGTCGTTCTCGGCAGGTCTCGCGGAGGAAAGTTTCTCGGCTGTGTAATCGCAAAAAACTTCCGTACGGAATAAAAAGCACGAGTGTGTCTGGCGAGAGAGCTTGCTTATCAATTGCGAGTTATCGTCTTCGGACGGAATCCATCTCGTCGCAGACCGGGTTTTCAGGGGGAATATAATAATGAAGTTCGCGTACGCGCGAGAGCGAAGGTGTACTCTCGATCTTGGGCGAACAATGCGCGGGAGTTTTTCCAGTTCTTGCGAGCCGACCCCCGACTTGCGGCCGTGCATTCTCGCCCCGTCCTCGGTTTCGATTCGGTTCGTTTTCTTCTTCTACGCCGTGAGGCAAGGTGGCCTCTCCTCGCGGACCGCATTGTGTCGGAGTTAATTACGTGCGGATAAATGCGGAGTCATAGAGGGGCGAGCCCTCTTCTTTTTCAGCGGACGTCTTTTTTAGGGGGGGGCCCTCGCCTCACGCCACCCCCTCGCCTCTACCCCTCCTCCTCCTCCCCACCCCCCCATCCCCTCCAAAAAGCCAGGGTGATACGGCGCGCGATGCGACGGCACACAATACCAACCGTTTAGGGCCCCGGCCCGAGGCCCCCGTATACGACGGCCACGGCCTGAAATTGTTTTCATTGTCCGGACGATTTGTCAGGGTGTGTAAGACGGTAGCGAAACTATTAGCGGTTCATTCTTCTTGGACTCTCGAGATACGCTGTCCGCAGAATTCCACGGGACCGAGCGACGAGCTCTCTTCTTTCTTCATTCGATACGCTACGCACGCAACGATACCCGCGAGAAATCGCGAATCTGGATTTCCAAGTCGTCGGTCGCTGTGCACGTCACTTTCTTACGTCGGACGGACCGGCGGACAATATGACGGTGGCGAATGTCCGCCAAGTTATTAGAATGGAAAAAAACGAGAGACGAGAGAATACCCCCTTCCGCCCCCCTTCTCCAAAAAAAAAAAAAAAAAAAAAAAGA